AGAGATATTCTGCAGGGGAGGGGGAAAGAAATGGGTCAGAATGGCAGGGAAGAGCACAGGGACTATGGTGATGGTGCAAGGGTGAGTTGGTGGTGGGAATTCTGTAGGAGGAGAAAGCAAATACTGTATAAAAATGAACAATGATATAAGATATAAATAAATGAATTATATAAAAATAAATGAAGCTATTTTTGAAAAATCAAATGATTAATACAGCTAGTGCTGTGGACCGCATGTTTCTATTTTGTTTCAATATTGCTTTTGTGTTTAAGTCACTGTGTTTATTTTAAAAAAATTATAGCATGGAGTGTAAATAGTATAATCTTAACTATTCAATTCTGCACTTTTAAAAAGAAAATTGTTAGAAGACCAGTCTGATTATGTGTGGCATGTATCAGAAAGAACTTTTTAAAAAAAAAAAAAGATTTATTTATTCATACAGAACTGGGGTACAGGCCAGAGATGCGGAGGGTGAGAGGATTCACCAGGAACAGAGTAGGGAGCAGATCGACGAAGTACACTGCTGAGGGAAGCAGCGGGCAGGTCAGGAGAGGTCTGCCGCGCCATGTGGTCACCTCCGGGGCAGGCGGGGATCGAACTCATGCAGAATTGGCTTAAGCTTCTTAGTTCAGTGCTTTAACCCACTAAACCACAGAAAGGGCCCTGGAAAGAACTTTTTAAAGATGTTGAAAGCTGTTTTCCAAAGCAAAGATTCATCACCCTTCAACAACAAATAAAAAACAGAAAGGAATACATAATCAAGTAAGTTTACTTGTTCTACTTTCAATATTGATGCCCACAATGCGAGAAAAACTGAATCAAACCAACATTTTTTTTGTTTTTAAGATTTTACTTATTTGTGCATACAGAAGTGGAGCAAGGCCAGAGGTGCAGGGGCGGCGAGAAGATCCACCACAGACAGAGTGGGGAGCAGAACAGGCAGATCTACGAAGTACACTGCTGAGGGGAGTAGCAGGCGGGTCAGGAGAGGTCTGCCACGCCATGTGGGTCACCTCTGGGGCAGGCAGGGATCAAACTCGCACTGAAGCAGCCATGGCTTGGTTTGATAGGCAATGCAGGACTCCAACCCATTGGGCCACCAGGGAGGGCCCTCAAACCAACATTCTAATAAGCCATTCACATTAAAACCTGTCTCTGAAAGAAAAAAATCAGCCCTTAGGTTCTCTTTATGTGCAAATCACAGCTGCTTGAGTTTTAGGATGAGATTTTTCAATTGCCACAAGTATAAAAGGCAAAATAAACAACTATCTACTAGTTTTGTCCCGACATCTGTGACCGGCTGCAAGAAAGAAAGGCGGGAGGAAGAAAGGCTGAGCAAGCAGTTTATTGCTCCCGGGCAGCAGCTGAGAGGCCCCTAGGGTGGGGTCCACAGCTACTGCCAACTCAATAAGGGCGAAGGGCCTTTTTTTTTTTTTTTAAAGATTTATTTATTTATTCATACATATAGAGCTGGGGTACAGGCCAGAGATGCAGAGGGTGAGCGGATTCACCAGAGACAGAGAGGGGAGCAGAACAGGCAGATATACGAAGTACATGGTGGGCGGGTCAGGGGAGGTCTGCCGGGCCATGTGGTCTCCTCTAGGGCAGGCGGGGATCGAACTGGTGTGGAAGTGGCTTAAGCTACTTAGTGCTGTGCTTTAACCCGCTGTGCCACCAGGGAGGGCCCAGAAAGGGTCTTTCATATAGATCTAGGTTCACATTCCAAAGGTGACTCATCTCTGTGTCCCCTGGTGCTAGGCCAGTTCCTCCCACCTGTATCTCCCAGATGCTAGGCCCAGTTGGCTATCAGTCTGTTTTCCCCTTCAGGTAGTCCCATATCAAGCTTGGATGCAGTAAATCTTTGGTTCCCAACACTACTTTCTCTAGTTGGATTAAGACTTACAGGAAAATAAAAGGAGGAAATATCAAAATATATCTATATCTATATCTATCTATCTATATATATATATCTAAAATATAGATATCCAAGCTTGCTTAGGATGTTTATTTCTTTGAAATAAGAAATAAGATAGGTAATAGCAAGCCTCAAAGGAAATAAAGACATAAATGCAGCAAGGGAAAAGAAATATGAAAATAGCAATCTGAGCTGAACATAACCATTAAAAAAAAGTTTTGATTTATTTAGGCCCTATAGTTTTTTTCAAAGGAAATTAAGTTTCAGTCATTTGTTCATTCAGCAAATGTATCAAAGAAATAATTTATACGCTCTTCCAACTGGGACATTATAAGGGCCTATCACATATAAATGTGGTTTTACGGGTTCAAATATTTTAAACAAACAAAATCACATCAAATACTTTGTGCTTTGAAATATGCATTAAATACCTAGCACTTTCCCCAAAGGCACTGAAAATACTCGACTCAATTTGTACATCAAAATAATAATTTCATGCACTGCTAACTAATGCAAGATAACAAACACACACGCATAGATAAAAGAATTGCCTCCCTAAATCAAAGCTGGGATATTGCATCTTTTACCTTTCAATGCTACATTAAACTACAGCGTTATAAACACTAATGAATAAAGAATGTTTAAAGGCATATTTACATCAACTGCAACAATTTTCTCTTTTTTGACTAGATGTTAAGGAAAAAGTACTCAAGTTAATTACTATGTGCACAGAAGTGGTTTAATGATCATTGTGTGACCAATAGCTTTTCCTAGAATTGCTTTTGAGCTTCAACCATAAAAATAGGCTGCTCCTTTCTTGCACAATCTGTGTGTCTGTGTATGTGTTATAAATACTTAATGAATATCCTGGGTTGTACCAGCCACAGTTCCCTATATTTCCAGGGCACTTACAAGCTGTATGTGGACCCTGGAGAGGTAGGCCCCAGAAGCAAAGAATGCTGAGAATGCCATCACTTGGCAAAGTTCTCAAAGAGGAGAAGCCACAAACATGACACATGATTTAAGTTCATTTCTGCACTGCCTTCATTTTCTAAGTGCCTGGATACGCCAGGTCTGTTGTTTCCTTTGTTTCTCACCTAACAAACTATTGTCATCCTTTCATCCTTTCTGTTTCTCAGCAATCCAGCACCATCTCCATTACCTTGCACAAAATAGGAAGCCTCTCACAGGCTGGTACACTACCATGCTCTCAATAAATATTTAACATAATAAATGATAATGGTATGACATACTGTGTAAGTGAAAGGGTGTGAGAAAGACTGGAGAGAGCAATATGGGAGATGGTACTGATGGAGGAAAGAGCAGAAAGGAGGCATCACAAGATTTATTCACACAGGGAGTTGGGTATAAGGGATTAGCATAGCCATTGACACAGCCATAGAAATCAAGATTCTCAGTGGCCAATGCCTGGATTACAGAGTGGAAGATCCAAGCAGGTAGCAGGCTTCTAAGGGCTGGGCTACAGTTTGCAGACCCAAAAGGTGAAAGATAAAAGATATGGAGAGTGTGGGCCTTCCCGGTGGCGGTGGCGTAGTGGGTTAAAGCACTGCACTAAAAAGCTAAAAGCCACTTCCGCATGAGTTCGATTCCCGCCTGCCCCAGAGGTGACCACATGGCGTGGCAGACCTCTCCTGACCCGCCCACTGCTCCCCTCAGCAGTGTACTTGGTAGATCTGCCTGTTCTGCTCCCCACTCTGTCTCTGGTGAAGCCTCTCGCTGCCCCTGAGCCTCTGGCCTGTACTCCAGTTCTGTATGCACAAATAAATAATAAATCTTTTAAAAAATATATGGAGATTGAGCCCTTTGTGGGGTCTCCTGTCCCTTTCAGATTCTATTCAAAATCAACAAACCTAGGCTCACAAGGAGTGAGCCCCTCCCATTAAGGAGAGGTCTATATCAGGCAGTCTCTGCACCAGCCCAGGGAGCAGTCTTCTGACCACCTGTGACTGTGCAGGTGCTTCTTCCCACCCACTCTCTCCTTCTGCAGGGCAGCAGCCTCCTGCCTGCCAGTGACCTGTACCATGCTGGAACCTCTCTGCACTGACCTCCTCCGTGGAGGCTGCACTCCTAAGGCCACCTGCCTGCAACCATGCAGGCCTCTCTCTACAAACCTGTCCCATCGGGGCAGCTCTTCCTGCCAGCTTGTGACTATGCAAGTGTCCTTTCTTTTCTTTTCTTTTTTTTTTTTTTAATAAATCTGCTCTTTAAATAGAACCGAGTCTCTGTCTCATGGAGAAACTCTTCTGGGAACTTGCTGCACGTCGCTGAAAAGGGAGCTCTGATGAAACATTTCCCAGGGTGAACACAAGGACCCGGCACTAACCCCCCCCCCCCCAAAAAAAAACCCGACATCATCACAATCTAGCTTTAAGAAAGGCGTCCTGGGGGAGGAAAATAAGCAAAGGCCTGGAGAGAGACAGTTTGAGCATTCTGGGAAAAGCCTGGGAGGAGAACCTTAGCTCACCAGACCGAATACATGGAAGAGGGGATGTCAACCATGGCTTATTGTATAGTATGGATTCTAGCCTTCCCGATTACTACTGTCACTGCCAATTTAAAATTTGGAGTTAAAAATATACCTTTAAATAATATTAACGAGAGGCAATCAAGTCAGGTGGATGGTGCGGTCATGACCAAGTTGTGCAAGCAATGTGCCCTGTTTGAGAACACATAAACTCCTAATTGGGAGAAGTGGGAATTTTCTGGCCTCTGTCCTGGAGAGACATGGGAGGAACGAAGAAAGCTCATTACACAAGATAACTCCCTATCTAGGTTCTGGCCATGTTGTGCCACTAATTTACTGTCTTGGCCTCTCAATCTGCAGAATAAAAGATGGCTCAATCCCATCCCTTGCACCTGCAGTCCTAATGAATTGCTGAAACTTAATCAAGGAGGCTCCAAGAAACCGGCCGCAGGAAAGTCCACGGCCGGTCCCACCGCCCCAGCCCCGGCGCCCCAGCCAGCCTCAGGCTGCCCGGGCTCCGCCCCCCGCGGAAGCCCGGACCGACCACGTGCGCGCCAGGGGCCACGTGACCCCGAGTCACGGGACCGCGTGCGACCCGCCATGGCGTTGGCGCCCTGCGGGTCATCGCCTGCAGCTGGCGCCCGGTTCTTCTGCACCGCGGGTCGCGGCCTGGAGCCCTTCCTGATGCGGGAGGTGCGGGCCCGGCTGGAGGCCACGCAGGTGAGTCGGCCTAGCTGCACCCCAGGGAGGGCGGGGGCGCCCGCGCCCGCGCCCCTGCCGGTACCAGCTCCGTCCCACCGCCGCCGGGGTCCATCCAGACCCGGGAAAGCCGCGAGCCCTCCCGGCTCGCAGCCCCCACCCACCCGGCGACGGCCCCGCCCTCGGAGATCTACTGCCGGACTGAACCGCCTATCGTTTTCTCCTGCACCGCTGTTAACCCACCGCTGTCACGCTGAAGTCTCCCCCTCCCCCCAGGGAGTTGAAGCAGGTCCTTTTTTAGATTCTTTAACAGTATTTGATTGTGCCTGTAATTAGAATCAGACCTCTCGGACTGAGAGTACCTTCGCCACCCTTTAAAAGCACGAATAACCTTCGGGTTTAGTTGCTTGCACTGTGAGTTTGCTGACAGCGATGGCACTCACCTAAAATTGTTGGAGGGATTAAACCACGGAGGGTGTGGAGACTACACCCTAAATACACAGTCACTAGGAAAAAAGTGTACTCCTGGAGGCCTCCTAATCCAATTTCAGGAGGAAGTTAATTTATCTGTTGATTTCAGCGACATGAATAAGGTTTGGAAAATTTGAAGTTCTGGAACTTCCTGAACAGTATTTTTAAGATTTTTTTTTTCATTTATTTATGAATACTAAATCGGGGTACAGGCCAGAGGTGCAGGGGCAGTGAGAGGATTCATCAGGGACAAAAGTGGGGAGCAGAACAGGCAGATCAATGAAGTAGACTGCTGAGGGGAGCAGTGGGCGAGACAAGAGAGGTCTGCTGCTCCATGTGGGTCACCTCCGGGGCAGGTGATCAAACTGGCACCAAATCGGCTGTGGACCAGCTTGCAGTGCAGCGATTTAACCCAGTGCCCCACCAGGGAGGGCCCTGAACAGTATCTTAATGGAGTCAGCTGTGATGTGATACTGGAAAAGAAAGCTTACTAAGTGAAAGTGGCCACTCCATTCTGGTAGTCCCCTAGTGCTGGCCCAGGGGAATTTCAGCAGTAAAGGGTGGATAAAATGAGGGGTAAAAAGTGTCATGAAAAACAGCATCAGTCTTAATAAATGTCATGCCATTTGTGGTTTGGGTCATAGGATGTAGCTGGGAAGCCAGGAAACCAGGATGTAGCTAGTTTAAGAAGCAACTACATAATAATAACTACTGACATTGACTAATCATTTAATATATGTCAGGTACTACAGATTCTTAAGTCCTTACTCTATGCACAACCCTATAAGGTAGCTTCTACATTTAGCAGAAAATGAGCACATGTAACTCCAAAAATTACTTCAAGTCACACATCCAGAAAATGGTAGAACTGGCATTTGTACCCACTGGAGTTTGCAAAACCAGGCATGAGAATAAAATCATGCTTAACCCGGCAGACTGGCAGCAGGCCATAGTTCCTTAACTGCTGTGTAGCCATGATATAATGGTGCACTGATACTGTTTTAAATATTCACTTAGTCTTTGATGTATCTGAAAAATGCATTTGATATAATCTGGGTAGGTAGGAATATTAGAAAAAACGCCCCCTCTCCTTGTTATTTGTCTTCTCTAGAAACAGAAATGACAGAGTAGTGGTAGTGATCAGTATAGCAAGAAAACTCAAATATTGGGGAAAACTTCTTGGCAGTGAGAGTCACTAAATTCCAAGAGATTTGGGAATTTCCATATTTTGATCTTGTAAATTTTAAGTGTGGATATGCCTGGAAATGGAATCAGAACAAATAAGCTCTGAAATTCCCATTACTCTGATTCTCCAATTTTGCAAACTTAAATCAATCACGAGGTATTAATGATAGCATCTAATGTCTGTTTAGCACTTAAAACATTTCAGATACTTTATGTAGATGATATGATTTAATCCTCAAAGAATTCTATGTAGTAGGTTTTAATCTCCATTTTACAAAGAAATAGAGATGATGCTCTAAGGTAGAGCAGATCTTGTAGTTTCAAAGCTATGTGCTTTACCACTGCGCTCGTCACCACGGGAAACTGCCCTGAAACACTGGATTTTGGTTATTTCTGTACGTGGGGTAAAAAGTGTGTGGGGGTTGTAGAGTCACAAAGCAGGTTCAGTTCTTATGTCTTCCATTATTAAAGTAGTGTTCCATTACTAAATGTTGAGCAAAGTACTTACACTTCTGAGCCTCACTTTCCTTGAATATAAGAAAACAGCGTAAGTCCAGAAGTGTCCATCCACCTTTTCACAAATGGCAAAGTTTTTTCATAACCGCATAGTTTTCCTTTGTGTGTATTTACTGCTTTAACTGTCCTCATCAGGCACTTGGGCTGTTTCCATATCTTGGCTATTGCAAAGTAAGCATAAGGGTGATGTATCTTTTTAAATCAGTGCTCTCCTAGCTTAAGGACTGTTTTTATAGCTTCATCTATGTAAGATAATAATGACTTTTAGAAAATACAAACGACTGTATCACACCTAGAAAGCAGTAACTCCTTATCATCAAGTCATGTAGTCAGTGATTCAAGTAAGGGCCAAGCATTATGACTGATGCTTTTTTACTTCCATGGATTTATGGATTTCCTTGGCTACCCTTGTTTAACTGCATTAAGCTGAGTTCTTTGTTCCCTAGTCTAGCAAGGGCCAGCAGAATTTTTCTGTAAAGGTCCAGGTGGTGAATATTTTAGGCTTTGTGGATCACTTTGTAGTTTGCTGTATTTTCTTTGTTGTTTGCACTAAAATTCATTTCTCTACTTCCTTAAAATACTACCTGTCATCATGAAGAATAAGTTGTTGAAGTGTTTTATATATGATTATTTGCTTCTCACAGTGACCGTTTTACATCTTAGAAACTGCTTCTGATTACATGCTTATTACATGTGAAAGGCATGTAGGCCTTGTGTTAATTTTTAAATAAGGAGAGTATTTAGTATTTGGGTTTTCACTGTTGCCTACTTAGAGTTTCTTCAGCAGATATTGTCAAACTAGCACGGCAACAGCAGAAATGATCATTCCAAATACTTAATTAGACCATGTTGGATTAAAAAGAAAAAATATCGGGATTCAAGTTCCCATGGGATGGGCTGTAACTAGATTCTCCAAACTTCCTGGTTCCTCAGTTCTAAAAGATGACTTAGGACCCTGCTAGTCAACCTGTGACTGCTACTAGTGGGAGAATTCCAGGACAATCCTGCATCATCCACTCATTCTGCAGTTTCTGAATTTAGGGGGTTGATTTGACCCAAATGGCATAGGATTCCATGGAGTCCCATTTGCTACACGTCCTGAGACTCCCTGTGAGTAAGTGCCCTATATTCTCCTTTCTCCTGTTTTTACCACCTATCTAGCCTGCCTCCAAAGCGACCGATGCATGTGTATTTCTTGCTTCTATCCATTTTCTAGCTCCCACAATCAAGTGTCTCATTATTTGTACCTCAGTAATCTCCTTCTCCTTCTAGCCTCATATTCTGTACTCGGTCTTTTATGCCACTTCCAAAGTAATTTTTTTTTTTTGACTGCTAATTCAGTGCTGTCACAGTTTTCTTCAGAAAGCTATAATGGCACCGTTACCATCTGTGGGACTCCAGATTTCATGACCGTTTATCAAGCTGGCCTGAGCTCCGCCATCGTCCACTTGACACAGTCAGTCAGCTTACCACAGCACAGGTTGCAGACCCATTCAGTGTACTGCCAGCAGGCTTCCTCGCTCACCTCTGCGTGTCGCCTTTGTCACAGTAGAATCCCTCATCCCAGACCTCCCAGGAGGCCTCCTTGGGACTTTTGCTAATAATACCTTTCACAATCAAGTACTTATTATACCGTCAGCTTGTTAATTAAAATTTCTTAGATTTCTTGAGTTTAACTCAGTGTCTTATGTACATGCTGCATTTTTGGGCCCTCCCTGGTGGCACAACAGGTTAGGATGCAGCACTGCAAGCTGGCCACAGCAGCTTCAGTGCAAGTTCAATCCCTGGCCCGGGAGGCGACCCACATGGCACAGCAGACCGCTCCTGTCTCGCCCACTGCTCCCCTCAGCAGTGTACTTCGTCGATCTGCCTGTTCTGTCCCCCAATCTGTCTCTGGTGAATCCTCACCGCCCCTGCACCTCTTGCCTGTACTCCAGTTCTGTATGCATAAATAAGTAAATCTTTAAAATAAATAAATTTTGCATTTTAGTTTATATGTCAGTATGTCTTTTTTACATTATTCATTTTAGTATATGTGCAATATGATTCCTCAGACCACAAGGTAGATGTTCAATTTGTTTTTCCTATCTCTAGGTTGAATATCTTTCAGGAAAAGTTTTTTTCACCACTTGTTCTGACTTGAATATGCTGAAAAAATTAAAATCTGCAGAACGATTATTTTTGCTGATTACAAAGCAGTTTCCACTTACTGTCACTTCTGCAAGTAAAGGTATGGTGTATGCCTGTTGCTTTACCTACCCACAGGATAGATAGATACACTGTACTCTTCACCTGTAGCCATTTCACATTTTGAAGTTCTTATCTGTAGGGTCATTAATTATGTGTTTTTCTGTATTTCCTGATTTTATTATTACCTAATTTTAGTAGAGCATGTCTCTTCTCTGCAGTGTGCTGCCTGTGTTCAATCAGACACCTTCTATCTATATCTTTGTGCTGAATTGTGCTTATTTACATTTAGAGGCATGAAATAATTCAGAATTCATTATTTTCATAAATTGGCCAAAACTGTCACCTTATAAATTTTAAAGGGTATAACTGGAAAATACTACATAATTGTTTCCTGTTTTGAGAACTTTTAATGTTTTGAACAAACATATGCCCATTTATTAGAGTTAAAGGGAGCTTAAGGGATTTCCTGTGCACTTCCCAATTTTATAAATGTGACACTAAAATAATTTAACAACCAAAATGGGTCAGAATGTATTGGGTTAGAGTCATATAATCATGCAGTCTAATCAGCTATCTCAAAAATACAAGTTGTAAGAAATTAAGACAGCAGAAAAGATGGTTTTAGAGGGAATATTAAGGTTTTTGTATTTTTAAAAAAGATTTGTTTATCCATGCATACAAGAATGGGGCACAGGCCAGAGGTGCAGGGGTGAGAGGACTCACCAGGGACAGCTGGGAACAGAACAGGTAGACTGACCAAAATATACTGCTGAGGGGAGCAGTGGGCAGGAAGGAGAGTTCAGCACATCAAGGTTTTCCTATTGAGAGGTCAGTGTAATTTCATCTCAGTATTCCACACACGCACTCATCTTTGAAAAACTACAGTGATTACTCTTGGGTTATTTTGATAATCCATGTTCTTCAAGAAAGACTCAATATTGTTGGCCACGCTAGCATGCTCGCAGTCCTTAAGTTATTTACATCTGAAGTGTTCCTTTTTAGAAAACTTGTTTTATGATGTATGCTACTCTTGCCTGGTCTAAAATAGTCCCGAGGTCAGTAACTATTTCTGGGCTTTCTGTTTTGCAATTTATCCAATACTTTTTTTAACTTAACTTTTTAGCATGATCAGTCTTATTTCAAAACTGACACAATCCTCTAGGGTTCATGAATACCTTGAAGATATACATATATAATTATAGAACAAATGATCTTGCTAGGGTATATGATAATTCTATATGGATTTTAACAATATTGATTAAGTATGGAACATAACAATGAGTAGTTCTATGTTAACTAATATATATATTAGAACTAATATATAATTGAAAGTGAAGTCAGTGTTCATGTAGTAATTTTCTTCACATTAAAGAGCATTTTTTATTTTTTAAATATTTATTACATCTTTTATTTTTCTACAATGTATGATTTCCCCATGAAATTCCCACCACTATTGCTTCTTGTGTTCTTCCCACTCCTGTCCTGATCTTTCTCCCTCCTTCTCTCCTATAGAATGTCTCTTATTTTTTTCCCCCTGGTACATTATTTGGTTCCTTTACATTCCTCCTATAAGTGAAAGCATTCAATCTTTCTCTTTCTGACTTATTTCATTAGGCATAATCCCTTCCAGTTCCATCCATGCTGCTGTGAAGAGCATGAATTTATCCCTTTTGATTGCTGAGTAATATTCCATTGCATGAATATACCTAGTCTTTTTGATCCAGTCTATTTTGGGGCATTTGGGTTGTTTCACTAGCCTATTGTAAACTATGTTTATTCTGCAGTAAACATAGGAGTGCAGGTATCCTTTTGATTTAATGTTTTTGCGCCCGTTGGGTAGATTCCTAGGCGTGGAATTGCTAGATCATATGGAAGTTCCATTTTTAGTAGTTTAAGGAACTTTCACACTGCTTTCCAAGTGATTGGACCAGTTTGCATTCCTACCAGTAGTATGGGAGAGTTGCTTTTTCTCCACATCCTCGCCAACATTTGTTGTTGCTGGTTTTTTAAATATGTGGCATTGTCACTGGTGTGAGATGATATCTCATTGTGGTTTTGACTTGTATTTCCCTGATTACAAGTGAATGTAGCAATTTAATAAAACTTATTAAAATAAAATTTAAAGCAATGTAATCAGACTTACCAAGAAATAAAGATAATGGACTTTGGGGTATGATAAATTTTATATAGACTGCTGCCTTAACCCTCCAATATAGGATAAACTGAGATTTTATTCATTTAGGAAAAATATTCAATGAAATACAAAAACTTATACATGATGACCCAGAAAGTTGGTTGAATGCCATTTCCATTTGGAAAAATCTTGAAGTTGATACAAAAAAGGAAAAATTTCCTCAAAGAGATGCTAACCCATTAAAAAGAAAAGTGGGAGACAATGACGTCATCATTGCTAAGAAATTTAAAACAGGACAAACGCAAGAAATAAAGGAGAACAAAGAATGCCACCTGGAAAAAGAAGTAAAAGAAACACTGGAGCAAGAAGACTTTATCACGAAAAGAGAACCATTTCAGGAAGAATTTCAGAATGATGGAGCCAAAGTAGCTAATAACCAGAGTGACTTGACTTTCAGAGTTTCTTGTCGATGCAGTGGAGCTATTGCAAAGACCTTTACTGCACAGGTACGCTCACTTTCTAAAGGGGGCACCCCATTTTCTCAAAAAATACTCTTCATATCTTAAATGAGTCCTTTCACAGCCTAGATCCAGACAGGTAACTAGACCTAACCTCATATACTCTCTTTAAAAATGTTTTCCTTTTTGATTCTATAGTAAATGCTTAAAAGGAAGACAATGCCATTCCACATCCTTTTACTTTGTCCCTTAAAGTTTGCTCACACTCAGGGGTACTCTTTGCATTTGGAAACCCTAATATCCGGGGTCCTACACACTCTAATTCTGTTTAGTACAGTTTGGTGGTACTTAGTGGCTGCTCTGCCCCAGGCCCTAGGTGTGTGACTGTCACCAAGACCCAGACTGCAAGCACACAAATGCACTGGCAGTCTCAACTATGGAGAGCGCAAAGCCCACAGTTTTCCTCACAAAACATTGTCAGTTGACTCTTAGAAAGTTCAGTGTAATGAAAGGCACAGTTTGGGGTAGGTTGGCCAACCTTGAAATCAGGGACCTGAAATTTGTGTCTAATGCTACTTGTCTGGTCATTTTTAAACAGAAAGCGTTGGGGTTTCTAAGATAGTCAACCTGTTTCCTAACACCCAGAATGACCGTGTCTGTCATATCATAGCATGGTTATTTCTTGTATCTAAAATTCCAAGGGTAGAAGGGTCACATGAGCAGGTGTTAATGCTATAAACATGATGGGTGGTGGAAGAGGTAAAATGCAACCTTGCTGCCTTGAAAAGAAAATGCTTTAGTGTCATCTTTTAATATTATAACCCTTAGTTACCACCAGACTATCTGACTGGATTTTTCTATGGCCTCTTAGTCTTGCTTACATTTAAACTTAAAATTTTTCATTTTTGTATTCTTTTCTATAATTTACTGCTTATGCAGGAGATGGGAAGAGTAATTGGAGTTGCTCTTATGAAACAGTTTGGATGGAAAGCAGATTTGAGGACTCCGAGTATAGAGGTACTGAAATTTCATTTTATTTTTTACACCTATGGCTTAATTCTTTAAAAAACAATGTCAGCTCTTCTTATTTTACTTTTCAGTTTTGCTTTAGAGTCTTTAAAAGCATGTCTGCATGGACCTAGCAGTGTTTCTCTTTAGCAGCAGAATAGGACAGACAATTTTGCTAGTCATTTTTACTGTGCAAATGCATCCATATAAGATATTGCAGAAGGAAATTGTCTTGTCACAGTTGAACTGAAAAAAAATTATTATAAGGTTCAGAGATGCTCTCTATACTCACTATAATATCTAAAAAGTCTCTAAGAAATTTCCAGCATTAAAAAAATGCTCAAAATGCAACACTGTGTTAATAGTGGTTTGTTAGGTTTGTTTTTTTTCCTCCATTAAAATGATCGAATCATTAGTTTTGTTTAGAACAAAGTAAGACATAAGCGGAAGTATTCTAACAGGTACTAGGCCTATAAAAGATATTCTGCTATTTTTTAAAAACTATTATTGGGTAATTTACAGGATTCTTTCATCATAAATTTATTGTCAGAGGGCTTTAAATGAAGGACTACCTGGCCAAATCAGAACATTTCATGTTGTGTTATTTTAAAATTTTGTATTTAGCATTTCTCACTTTCAAAAAGTAGTTTATGCTTAGTGGACTGCAATGAAGATTGTGGGTGCTTTGGTGGTGAGTGCTGTGGTAACATACATTGTAGAGGTGTGAACCTGTACCCCTAGTTACACAGTGTTGTAAATTAACATTACCTCTAAAATATAATTTTTATCAACAAAAACAATAAAAAGTAACTTATGTTATAAGTAGATACCCTTTGTTGCTTTCATGCAAGGTATTTTACTGAAGGATTTTTTTTGACATGAGGATGTCATTTCCTTTCACTGCCTCGCTTCCGTGTCTTTTCTCTCTCTCTCTCCTGGTGTCCTCATCTTAATTCCATCTCACTGGCTCACAATTACAGTTTTCTCAGAGTTTAGGTCATAAATGAATACAGCTAATTTAATTCCTAGTAGCCATTTAGTGCAGTTCTTAGTAGCTATTATTGTGTAGAAATAATAAACACAGAAATGACAACACTGAAATCACATACTAAAATGTATGAGCAAAACTGACAATAAAATCTTTACAAATCTTGTTTTGCAAAACTAATAGAAAAAAGTTATAGAAGACACTATTCTTTGTATTTGGTATAGAACAAGCAGTATCTCATACCTAGGTAAATTTAAAATAAAGAGGAATTATTAGTCTCAATAACTCTGCTAAAATATTTTTTAAAATTGTAACATTCAATTCTGCTAATCAAGGGATTAAAATGACTAAGTGGAGCTCATTTCAGATCATTCTTAGTGAAAATTTACCAATACTGAAATAATTTTGATTATACTTATATTAAAAATAATCTTAGTGTAAAAATATCAAGAATCAATGACTCCTAAGGTCAAACAACAGTTAAGATACTCCATAATCTCATCGGACTGTAAAAGTTATATTCTGACCTTTAAACTTTATGTGAGCTACTAATTATAACCACAATTACAACAATTTCTTCGGTTTGACCTAACAGAAGAAAGGGGAGGAAGAAACTCGCCCACAGAGACAAGGGAAATAGTTTGCTACCATGTATTTGATCTGTAGAAGGTTTTCTGTTACCCTGAAAGTATGTGTAATTTTAAATAATGTGGCCTCAAGTTTTATTTGAGGTTAGAATTAGTTTGGGTTTAGGAAGCAGTCTCTAACCCCAAATGCTGAAGAATCTGAATCATTTATGTAATTCAGTGAACTCTGAGAAGAAAATTGATCTTGAGTTCTTTATGAAGTGATTCTCCATATAACCTGTATACCAAATTGACCTCAGAGTTTTTCTATGAAATATATTTAAAATTCGCTTTGCTTCTGCTCAAGAAAATAGGACTTTTTTTTCTAATTGACCTAAAAAGCATTGGAATTTTTTATTAAAATATAGGGCCCTCCCTGATGGCACAGTGGGTTAGGACGCAGCACTGCAAGCTGGCCGCAGCAGCTTCAGTGAGAGTTCGGTCCCAGGTCCTGGAGGTGACCCACATGGTGCAGCAGACCTCTCCTGTCTCACCTGCTGCTCCCCTCAGAGTGTACTTCATCAATCTGCCTGTTCTGCTCCCCACTCTGTC